AGGCTGTCGTGATCGGCGCGACTAGGTCATATAGCTAGGTAGCTGACTATAGGGCAACTATAGTGACTAGGGCTAGCCGCGACTAGGTAGTCGAGTTGTGTACTGCCTGGATTGTACGGTAGTGTGTGTAGTGTGTTATATTGATACAGAGCAGATAGCTTTGGTAATAGTTCTATAGTCGTGCAGTAATTATTCTGTTCATATCATGTATTAAGCATTAGGTAATAGGTATGCTGGTTACAAGGTAGTAACACATATTTGTATATATTTGCAACTGTAGTATAGTTATAATTAAGCTTACAGCACAGGGATCCTTAGAAGTGACTAGGGTACGGACTTCGGAACGTTACAGGTCTTCTTTTTATTCCAGGGACAGGGCTATCGTTGCCACTATGTCTAGCCTTTCGGCTGTGGTGGTGGCTATTACAACAAATCACATTTCGTAAAGCACGTTCCAGTGAAAATAATGCTAATATTGACACTTTTTGACACAAAAACAGCACAAGTTATTTGCTATTTTTTGCCATAAAAATTAGTACTACATATCAAAAAATTATTCAACTTTCTATCGCTGTAAATTTCAAAAAGAAATATTTTTTAAATGAGCTGATCCTCGAATGCAGGCGATACTTTTTTGTTGCGTTTAACATTTCCGGTTGTTTACGGTTTTTAACAACACGTGTCCTTCGTTATCAGACGAGTAATTTCATCTGTGACATCGCTATAGTTCCAAATAATGCAAATCAAATCAGGCCTACTTAACATAGAAATTACTCGGCTGTTTATTGATATTAATTGTTTTAAAAAATATAATCGATAGTTTATAAAATTTAATCAAAACAGTGAGCAGTCACCAACTACTTTCGCAATAATGATTTATGTTCCAGTGAAAAATAATGCAGATATTTAGTCTTTTTGACACAAAAATAACACAAGTTAAATTATGTTATTTGCAATTAAAATGGGTTGGGTCGTTATAAAATTTATTAAGCTTTCTATTGCTGCTAATTTAAAAAAGATCGGTCAAATACTTTTGGAGTGAGGTGGTTCACATACATGTGGTTTTTTTTTTTATCCCGCATTTTTGTCTATCGAAGCCCACCACAATACTCTGAACCACGGGTTACATCGCGTTTAAAAATAGAAAAATATAACCCAAAAACGAGACATCAATTACTATGATACCACAGATTTTATCAATTAAAAGTTATACAATCAGCTTATTACAATGGGATAAACAAATGACGTAAGAACACTTATCGAGATTGGTTTGTTTTCACACCAACTTCTGCATCTAACGAAGCGGTACCGACGCCATCTTGCTTTGTCAAAATTGAGATAGGTGGCGCTCGCTATCTGGTCCGGAATCAGGGGGAGGTAAGTCTAGATTGACGTGTCATAAAATTGGTAAGGCAGAGAGGGAGTTGCTAATCCCCTTCACTATACGTCCCTGGTTATAGATCTTGCTTTATTACTGCCTGTAATACCATTATATCACTACATGTATACTCAAGACATTATATACAGTCTGTTTGTTATGAAACTACTTTTTCTGATGTCAGGAAACATTCACTCTAATCCAGGTCCCTCATCAATCAGTATTAATCAAAGAAACTACTATAATGATTTATCAATAATGCACTTAAATGTTAGGTCTCTTCGGAACAAGGTTGATCTTATAGATACTGAATTCACTGACTATGACATCCTATGTCTTACTGAAACTCACCTGAATAATGAAATAACTGAATCTGATTTGCAAATTAACTCACATCCCAACTCATATCGTAGAGACAGACAATCACAACACGGTGGTGGTATTATGATATATACTAAAAACAACCTCTTAATAAATCCCAGAACTGATCTTGAAACTGAAGACATAGAGCTTGTCCTCCTAGAAATTAACACTTCTAACAAAACAAATACTTCTCTGCTGCCTTTATAGATCTCCTAGCTAATACAAAAATAGATTACTGGAATAAACT